CCCCCCCCCCCCCCCCAAAATAGTTTTCATGCCTGGGTCACCTCCACAACGTTCACTAGAAGACAGCACTGGGACCCTACAGCTTTTATTTGTATACCAAAAAAATCCCACAACTTCCACTGAGGGGAACTCACTTTTGGTAGCTTCTGCATCCAGAACTTCTTGGTGGACTTTTGCTTCTTCTTACATTTGTGACACATGTAGAGCTCTGAGTCATCAAGTTCTTCCAGGTCTGTGAAGCTACGGAGACAATCTAGAGCGGAGTTCAATTTACACGGTTAGTCCTAGCTATCACTTGCACCTGCAACAGTTCGATAAAAAAAGAATAATTACAGAGACGGAAGAGCAACTTTCTAAAAACCTACCCCGCAACGTACATATTGGTCCATTCTCTTGGTTCTTGCTACGTTTATTCCGGAACTGACTTGGAATATCTAGTGAAAGGTCTAAAAAACATAGAGTTTTTAGAGTTATAGATTAGATTCTGATGTGACCAGTGTTACAAAGGGAAACATTCTTCAAATACTTTCAAGGTGGGTATATTTTAAACCTCTTACCTAGGAATGGATCAAACTTTCTGGATTCAGTTCCACATATCAAGCAGTTGACTTCATTCTGAAGAACACCTCCAAAGATGGTTGTAACCACGGTAGAAGTGCCATTACTGAAGAAAAGGTGGGGGCAGGAATGTCAGGACAGCAGGTTCTGTAGCTGTGGCTTATGCTAGGACCCTCCAATTATCGTATTTCTATTCAGGCATTTCATTTCTGAACAAAAGCAACCCACGGGGTAGACAGAGGCGGGAGATGGGTGCTAAGCCACCACCCTGCCCTTTGCTGCCCTGCTCCAATAGCCAGGAGGCTACTCACCGAGGCTAGCCACACAGGATGCCCTGCCATCATTGACATGCCTCTCTCACGGGAGACACCACGCAATGAAGATCACCCAAGTCCCCAAGTCCTAACCCTTGTTCTCCTCACAAGGAGCGCCAAAGCCAATGTCAACCATCAGAAGTTCTTGTCTAACAACATAACTGCCACCCAGTTTTGTTCCACAAGAAAGAAACTCGATTAAGGAACAGCCTTTTCAGTGAGAATTTGCACGCTCTGACAAACCTTTTTAGAATTTTTTTTAACTTAAATTTTATTCTTTAGCTGGACTGCATGAAACTAAGGTTGCAAAAGAACTCAGACTTACACGCAGCATCTACTGCCAGCAGTGAGACCAGGATTCTCTTGGACAAGGACTGGGTGGGCAGCACCGTTGAAGCCTTCTTGGAGTTCCAGATGGAGGTGGTCCAAGAGGTAGCGCATGAACTCGTGGGCATCTTGCTGCTGGTATCCCCTTAACATAAACAAATCCAGGAATATATAGACTGATCACCAACTTCTATGAACACTGCACATGGGGAAGGTGGAAAGGACAAGCTCAAGAATGCATGCTGTCTGAACTAAAAAGGAAACTGCTTCTTAAATCATCAGACCACATGGAGGACTTAATTTATAAAGCCTGACTTGAGGAAGTCCTTTGCTACCCAATGCAAGAATCTTTCTCATATGCAAACTCAGAAGTTCAAACTTTAGGGCAGTTTGGGATATCCATGTGCGTGTGTGCAGGTCACACACACACACACACACACACAGAGTATCTACGTATGTGAGCACAGCCCCTCAGGAAACCAAGGAGCTTCTCCACACCCAAGTCTCACGCTGGCTGGAAGGGAAAAAGTCTAACAGTAATCAGAAAACAAAAAGACGAATGAATGTTGCTCTTCAAGGCCAACCAGGAGGTGGAGATGTTTTATTCAGGCAGAGTAAAAATGGATCAGCAGTTACCAAGGACTCTAAGAACACCTTGTTTTACTTAATCCAGACATCTTACTTTCAAGATAGAGAAAGGTTCGTTTAAACAAGGACAATTTCTCGCAGAAGACATCCTTCTTGAGGTACTGTACTGAGATGTTTTTATTATCCTTAAGTTTGCAATGCATTGGGTTTTTAAAAATTAACCCAATCACATACTCTCTACCCCAGCATCCACTTCTCCCTCACTCCCCCAGGCCAGATGCCACATTTTTGGATGAAAATGCCTGCCTCTGCTCACAGTGACGGCAACAGTGTTGTGACTACCGTCACAAACGGGAGCACAGCAAAAGAAACGTGCCCGGGCGAGGGTGGCAGGCTGCCCCACCCATGAACCAGCAAGGCAGAAGCGCCACTACTACACGTGGCACCTCTCTGCCTTTGGAGCATCGCCGCCAGTGCAGAGACGCATCTAGAGCACCGAGATGACCAGGCTGCACCAATTCCATTTTCGGCAGCATTTTCCAAGCCTCCATTCCTTTTCAGAGAGGTTCATGCCCACGCTTTCTATTCTTTCAGCTGGCATTAAAAACACAACAGCCGTATTTGCTTCACCGGGTTTTCTGAGCACAAGCTGACCAGTTTTTACATTCCGTACAAATCCTCATCCGTCACCACATCCTGGGCGCGTCTTTTACATAAAGCTGCAATGCCAGAAGCTGGAGCTGAAAGTTCCAGGGAATCTGTGGGACTTGCGGCCAAGCGAACCAAGCTGGGCGGCAGGGCACCGAGGACTTCAAAGGACTGCCAGACCACCTGCCGGGCCGTCCTGGGACGTGCCATACACTGGAGCCACTTTCCCCAAGAGGACGCCCTCCAGAATTCAAGCGGTCCTCACCCAAGCCCTGGCAAGGCGACCAGCTAGGGAAGGCAGGTCTGGGCTCTGAGGTGGTAGGCTTGGCAATGGTTAGGGCTCACAATGCCCCAGATACAGCTCCCCCCACCTCCTGCAAGGGAGCATCCCACACGTCTCCTTTTGCTCTGGGGCAGACAAGGTCACCTTGGCCTTTGTAACCACATGCACGGAAGTGCAGTTCAGTTCCTCTCTCCAAATCCCTCACACACATTTTGCACATCCTCAGGAGCCAACATCATCAAAGAACGTGTCCTTCTCCCACTTTTGGTTAAGCACAGAGGAACCCACAGTGCTGAAAATCTGCTAGAACAAGTTTGGGGGTCAGACTCTCGCTTCACCCTCAAACAGTCTGGGAGGGGATTCCTGTCACAGGACTGGAGAAAGCAAGATCAGGGTTTTGCTCTCCACCTGAAACGACTGATGCTAAACTTCCTTGATTCTCCCTGGGGAAATGCGCAAGGGGCAAGTGGGAGAGGAGGCTAAGGGCCGCCGCCTTCTCCCTGTTGGGTCTCTTGTATCACAGGTGTCCAGAGCATCTTTTCAGCACTGCTAGAGGCATTAACACATCAACAGAACATCTTTACTACCTGAAAACATGGAGCAACTTACCTTTCTGCACAATTAATCCTAATAGAGTTCAGTGCTCCTTTGAAAGAGGTTCAGGGGCCAAGACAGGGAGACCTTGGAGAGGAATGACACTTGGATTTACTGGCGTGAACTATTAATCTCTTTGACAGCCTGGGTGGAAAATGCTTCCTGCACACAAGAATCATTCTCTTTGCAGCCCTTACTCAGAGTTACAATGACAGAATCTAGTTTAATATGGAGAGAATCAAGGAAGTTTTGCCCAGTATGTTTTGCTTCAGCCTTTCTAAGCAACATTCCTGCCCAAGCAGAGCTCCGGGGTTTGCTGGGATTCTCAGCCACACTGCATGACTAAGAAACGTGGTAGGTCTTAGCACCACTAAACCTCAGAGACAAGGAAAATACTCTTAGCACTGCTCCTTCTGTTTTGGGGAAGAGTCAAAGCCCTCTGGCACACAGCAGGCATCCTTCTGAAGACCAAGCCGCCCTCCAAACAAGGTCAAAGGACACGGTTGGCCAACACAAGCCTGTTCCTTTCAGAGAAAGTAACTGATTCCTAATGAAGGTTTCTCCAGAAACATACAGGACTCACCTAAAGTTGGGCATGATTTTCCAAACAACATAAAACAAGGATTCGGGGCTGAATGCTGTTTGACTTCCTTGCCACAAAGCACACAGTGTCTTCCGAAACTCTTCCACCAAGGAACTGGAGAAGGAAAACAGTATTTATTCTTAGAAAGAAAACAGGCTATAAATGAACACTCCCACTACATTTGTGAACAACTAACCACTGAGGGGGGTTTAGCCTACAGTTATGGTGCCACTGATTCCAAATATCAAATAACCGAAACCCCTCTCTCTGCTAGTCATGTCAGCACGCGCTAGCTTCTTCTGGGATCCTCTGCTTCGGGGTCAACCACTCACACGCTACTATCTCCTTGGCTCCGCGTGTGGTACGTTCGCCGGCCTGCAGTCTTCCCGTTCCGAAGTTCCACCGCTGGCAGTTCCTTGAAGTAACAGCAGAACTGTGGAATGTTGCTGTGGGAAGAAGGACGTGTCAGCCAGACGCGCCGGAAAGAAGCTGGAGGGCGACTGTTTTCTTTGGCAGTCCCTCAGCAATCAGGAGAGACTTGATTTAAAATAATAACACCACCACCTTCGATGCTCTAAAATTGCATGCGGCATTCCTGCACATTAATGCACTTGAAAGGGAACCTGCATAATAGAGTTCTGTATGGCAGGATCCTGCCGGAATAACTACGCCACTAAAGCAGATGCAACCAGACGCAAAAGTGGAACCCCGGAGTTTCTGGAGGTAGATGAAGAGACTCTTGCGTGGAATCCACTACATTACTGTGATCCACGGCATGCACAAAAATTGAGCCCCTAGGCCCCTTGGGGGAAATGCCCCGTTCCCAAATGAGAGGTACCTGAGGGACTGAAGGATGGCATTCATGAAACACGTGTTCCCCAAATTCCGAAGACCTGTTGCGCACAAGCTGGCGGGGCTCCCCTGCGAACCAGGGAGATCACCATGAATTGACATACAATAAACCACCAATTTTCTCCAACCTACCTTCTCCTTCTAAAGGAACGTGATGTCATGACACAAAACAGATTCCTAAACCCACTTCTAAAATATTAGGGTAAGTGTTTAATTATTGTTAGTCAATTACAGAGAATTTAGAGCACAGAAAACAACAATTTTAATTCATGTCTTAGAATGTTCATAGAATACCCTGAAATCGCACAAAATCAGTCAGCGCGTTCCCGTGTTTCTAGAATTCCCCGACGCCCCAGCATTCTTCCATGGGAAAATTCAGATCCCGCTCTGGACACACACCAAGTCCTTCTCCCGGCTATTGCAGGAAGGACCCAACAGCAGTGGGCTCTAGCAAGCTGCTTGTGAGCTGGAAGCCAGGACCCTCCGCAGGCCTGGTTCATGGCTTTGGGCAAACCTTCGCACTTGCTTAGGGCAGGACCCCACAGGAACTGCCAGGCTAGTTTACGCCAGGCTGAATAAAATGGCAACTAATTATTTGGCCTGTTGGCACAAATCCAGTAGACTTTTCTCAGCTGAAAGCGAATTATTCAGAACCTTTAACGTTCAGAATTGGTCACTGAGCGCCGCCAACACTGAAAATGTCACTCAAAGGGCCAGCAGGCAAGAACCAATTAAGAGTTAAAGTCCAAGATGTTTTTGGGGAAAAGAGCTTCACTGATCAACGAGATGTGCTCCAAAGCTACTGCTTGAAAGTTGAGGGCATATAAACAAGGAGAGCATACTTACATTTATTTTTAATAACTTGCTGTTTACAGAGGCACTTTCAAGAAGTTTTCTTTTCCTATGTCGGTCTACTGTAAAACCTGAGCTGTGGGAAGGAATAAACTGATGTTTTGAGACATACTTAACACCACAAAGAGAGCGCATGACAAACAAACCCAGCCACAATATATACCACTTAAGGCATGAAGGAGTATACGCATCTTATAAATAAATAAATGTTTCAAAATTGCCTATTATACCCGGAACGTTCCTTTACCCACAGAGAGACTCATCCTCGGCTACAAAGGTATCACACAATTACAGTTTCAAAACAAATTTCTGTATTCCCTAGAGAACAGCCTCAACCCCAATTCTACTTTCAGTAGCATGTTATCAGATAATATCTTCATTAATCTGGTGAACACGCTCAAGTTTACCCTAAAACCTGTGACCTAAAGCAACAAACCGTTTTCTGAATCAAAGGCCATTCCACAGACAATTCCCAGGAGACTTGAAGTGCCATTTATGCTCCCTCAAGCCAACCACCCAGAACCTTACAAACGGCTTTGGTTTGGGGCCTGCTCTCCAACCAAAGATATTCTGGCTTCTGAGCCCTTCTAGGATAACGGCTACTCAGCATTCTCGGGGCATAACCCAGGCAGAAACCCGTGCTACAAATGGCTACACCTCCGAGAAAGTAACTGCCGCCCCACATTCATTTCAGTGAGGCCTCCTAGAACAATTCTCCCAAATGTGCCCCTATGGAAATTGGTGGAGGGCACATATAGACTTACAGTGCATACATACAATTCACAAGGAGAGGCTGCTAAAAAGAAACACTATCGCCGTGTCCACCTTCAGACAAAGACAGGCCAGGCCACTTACTTTTCCAAGTTTTGTAGATGCTCTCGGACTTTCTGTACCAGGCCTAGCTTGGTGTCATTGACTACGAAGTCATCACAACGATAACTGTGAAGAAAATGTACAACGGTCACAGGACTGGCCGCCCATCAGCACCGCTGACTCCCTGGCCCCAGGCAGAAGAGGACCAAAAGACCAGTATCACTTCCTGCCCCCTTCAAGAGGGACGAAAGCATCCTGCCTTTTAAGACAGAGCCACAAAATGCTGAAACAGAAGAAGGAAAACACAATAGTGTGGATTTAGCTACCCACCCTCTTCCTCCAGGACACCGAGCAGAGCTTCTCCCCATCCCAAATTCTTTTCCAACCAATTCTGTGGCTCCTGGCCAAGCTCAGTCCTCAGAGATCCTCCTTGGTCTTTCTGCCAGTCTAATGCCGTCATCGCTTCCGCATGACCAGCCCCAACTGACGGGTCACTCAATGACTCATCTGGGCTCAGCTTTTACCAGGCTGACTTTCCGCTGTACCACAATACGTGCCACAGCGGTGGGACCCCATAAGCTGATCGGCTCGATTCAGCAACCAAGGCAACCGAGGAAGCGTGAGTTGTGGACTTACAAAACATTTCCCACTTGCAATCCTCAAAGATTATGCAATGTGGACAAGATGCAGAATGTCCTCTCAATATAACAAGTGTTCCCTTTTTCTAGTTGCGGCCAAATGTTTTCCTTCTCACTTTATTTTTAGCATCTTGCTTTTCAGACTTGCATCTTTTGATTCCTAATTACTGCCTAAAATAGGTATAAACCCCACACTGGGGACCAAATACTTGGCACAGAAAAATGAAATTTATGCAAGAACCCTGTTAACAGAGTTGACCTTTGTAGTCTTTAATTTACAGGGCCAAGTAATGCTTCTACTTCAATAATTTTGGTAAAGACATCATCCATGCCAGGAGTAAGGAACTGGCTTAGTGTTGAAGGAAGCATCAGAAAGACATCGTGAGCTGCAAAATGAAGGCTCAGTTGTACATTTTAGAAGACTGGAACATTAAGGTAACAAAGCAAAGGCGTGAAAGAGAAAGAAACTCTTCATAGTTATTTAACAGAAGGGGAATTCCTTTCTTTGCATGCTTTCCCAAAACTCTGAATCTGTAATCTTTGAAATTAAAGTAAATGTGGAATGGCCATGTTTCAAATCAACTCTTTATCCAGTTAATTTAAGAAAGACTTCAAGCAATGAGAATGTAACAGCATTGGGTTCAGACATAATAGCAAACCACAATCCTATATGGAGCCTCCGTCCTCTTCCCTTTATTGTTTATGTTTGGTAAACCACCATTTTCTGTTATAGTCAAACAATAACCATAACAGACCTTCGCTCTGCAAACCAGGATCAGATGCTGATTTGAACTGAGCTGTATCTTGCTGTCATCCTTCAAAGGCTTTATCTGTTAAACTGAACTTTAGAAAGCCTGCTTCCCGGAGTTGGCATTTGGGGCTCAGGGTCAAACAAAACCCCGTATGAAAGAGTTACAGAATTTCAGTGAACTGGACAGAACGTCCTTCAGGCCGAAGACGCTCTCGTTTACCCGCCCTGAGCACCAAGAGGTTCAGACAGACGTACAAACAAGGAGCGACCAAACGCCTCAACCTGAGGGGTGAGCTGGGAGCCACCTTGGCCTTTCCATGACATGGCCTCTGCTACAGCACCATCTCAATCTCCACCCGCCACTTTATATAGATGTGGTGGCTGCCAACAGAAACATAAAAACGAACTTACCAGTAGGTACTGTAACTGCTGCAATCCATGCACACTGTATGTTGAAATTTTTCTTGCTTTTCTGCTTTCTTAGGGTTCATTAAAGAAACCTGAGCATCTTCGTAATGCTTCTTTGCATGGCCATTTACATACCTTGAAGGGTCAAAAAAGAAAAAAAAAAAGAGATTTTAGAAGCCTTCCTTCCTTCCCTAACTAGTAAACAGGCTTCAAGGCAACTGCATTAGCTCCCGTTTATTATCGCCCAATTTGTCTCAGATTTAAAGCACCACAACTCAGCAGATTTAGAAACACTCCAACAGGTTCAAAACCTTGGACATGTATAAGTAATGCAGAGATCAGAATGGTTTTTTGGTCAGTTTTGCTGGGTTTATAACCCTGCTGTTCATCCAAACAAAGGAATTTCAAATGTTCTAATAAAAGCTGACAGATTATTTTATCTCTCCCATTTTAGATGACATCCCAAGTATCTTCGCCTCACTATGCCCTCAGGAGTATGCAAATGGGTTTCTGTTTTTAAGCAGCCACACAAAGCAGCAGGAACAACTGTAGGTGTCCGTCCTACCCCGAGCAGGACAGCCTCATGGAGACCGGCCACTCCTTGACCAAACCCTCCAACAGTTCTACCAAATGTGGACAACAACGTGCTCTTAAATCTTACTGCACCTTATCCTTATTTACTAGACAACTCTGAAGCAACGGACATGACTACAGTTGGAATCTCGGCCAGCATTCCCCAGAGGTGCTTATGGGCCAAACTGTAGGAGTTTTAGTCTGAACAGATGTGGGAGCAAGAGAGTGGGGACAGCTGGTCTATGCCAAAGTCAGGCCAGCTGGTCCTTCTCGAGATGTTGTTGTCCCAGGCAACAAAACAGAGGGGAGATCAGGAAAATAGCACCCCTGGGAGGCTGTGTCCTGCACTCACCTTCCGCAGTGGACACTTGAGCAAGTCAGGCAGATCCAAGGACTTTTGTTAGAGCGGCACACTATCGGCAGGAAAAAGTCAGACAAAAAATCAGTTACACAAGCTGATGCTTTATTACATTACTCACAAAACAAGTTTTACTGCATCAGCTGCTCCAGAAAACTAGTGGGGAAAAACCCATCATAATAACAGCCATGCTGTATGAATAGTTTAAAATTAAATATTTAGTACTTATATAAGCAGGAAGGTGGGATATAAATTTAATACATTTTCACCATATGAAATGTTTTCAATTGCACATTCCTCTCCTTCATCACATGTTAACCAGTTGCGCTTGATGTATTTAATACCTAGCATTATGTTCAAAATAAAATAAAATAAAACCACCTGCAATAGAAACAATTTCACTGGATGGATTATGAATTAGGTGAGTCAAAGTGGTTACTGTGCCAAATTCACCAGTGGAACCCTAGTCACAACTGATCAACCCGAGCATATAAAAAGTGGGATGACCTTCTACTTCACTAGGGTCTGGTATCAACAACCTGCAGAGCATGAGGAAGATTCCACAGCTAATCGGGCAACCAATATATTGGGAAGGCAGAGGGAAAAAATCAGCCTCTCAAGCCACACAACAGCCCTTTGACTACCATCCACCTGGTGAAGGCAGACAGGACCCATGAACGGTTGGCTAAATTTCACTAAACCTCTTTGAACAAAGCCCTTGGCCATAGCTTCTGCCACTGTAGCTTAAAACCTAAAACATGAGGCTTGATTTGAAAGGCTGAAACAACAAGACAAGGGTTAACTTGTCTTCTAAGCACATCTGTCTCTAAGTGCAGAACACCCCCAACCCTGAAGTTAATTACAATTTGTCAGTTCTTATATATCGCCAAACTGTAGTCAAACTCCATTAACATGGTGCACTGGAAAAAAGATATAATAGAAAGCAGTTTTCAGAGAGAACCCAGTGCAGATATCCTTCAAGTCTGTCTGAACTCTACAGCAGTAAGTTCTTATTAAGTCTAAGTATTTTCAGAACAGCATCAAATACTTGTCTAGGAGGGATGTGGTAAAAAAAAAAATCTGTGATGGTGTAAGGAAGCCTGGAGTCACATCCTTCTTTTCAGCAACTTCCTGTTAACTGAGTAATTCAGAAACTATACTTTCTATTGCATAATAGGAGAAAAACAATGCCACTGTTTAGAATATAAGAATTTGAAGTGCCCAAATGTTCGCTTATTATTTGCAATTAGCCAGACCGTTCCTTGTAAAGGATTAAAGTATGCTGCCCTATAAATAAGTAACATTTAGCTTTCAAGCACTGCGCCATGCTTGAGAGTGCTGCATCTGGCCCAGAATCCCTTCGAGCGCAGAACAAGGTAGGTAGGCCTTGTTTTAGGCACCCTGCAAAGTGGGTGTCGGGCGAGTACAGACTCGGGGTTCAGTTCAGCTTCACTATCTGTAGCAAGGCCTGCTCTCCAAGCCCCCATCTTATCCCACAGACTCAAGCCTCTAAGACTGTGGTACAGTAAAACAATATGCCAACTGCAAAAGCACTCAGTCATTAGTCCAGAGGTGACGCCCAAGGCAGCTTTAAAAAGCCTGTCTCTAAAGGGTGTTTAAGCAAAGTCATCATAATCTGAAAAAGCATTAGCTTAAAGCTGCAGCTAAAAATACTCGGTGCTCCTCTGACTCCCGGCTCCTTGCAGCTCCTCCCTGCCCAGGCCCACCAGACGTCCTTTGGCCTTTCCCCTTTGCCCTCTCTTCTCCAACTCTTTGCTCCCAGTGCCACTGAGCCGTCCGAAAAAGCTGCTTTTCTGCCGTCCCAGTCAGTCTGGACTGAGCTGACACAGAGCAACAGGGCCAGCTGTCAGGAGTCAGAGCCATCCTGTGTGGGCAGCCCCACGCAACTGATCGACAGTCCCCCAGCGGTAGGGAGCCCAGACCCGCTTTCTCAGGAGTGGCCCCACCCCTGGAACAGCCTCCTTGCTGAGGTTATTGGCCCTTCAGAAACTGGAGAAAAATGGGATTGTCCTGGCATCTGGCGATTCAAGAGCGGTCTCCATCCACATGGATTTCTTTCTTATTTTTGCTTGTGTTTTTCTTCTTGTTACAGCATGTGACGTGCACGCTTTTATTGTTGTAAATGTATTGTGGCACATGTAAACATAAATGCATAAATGGACCAAGACCCCGAAGTGAACCTTGCTGAAGGTACATGCTGGGGAATGTAGCTTCTCCTTCTGGAAATCTGGTTTATTCTAAGAAACGTTCTTTCTGGGACTGTAGGGATTAGTAAGATCTACTGACACCAAGAAACGGTAACAGCAGCATTTCCAGGGAATGGACCCAGCTGAAATGAACAGGAACACTTATGCAACAGAACCAGGGAGATTTTTAAAAACAACACTGTGTTTTTCTTTTTAAAAATATGTTGAAGCGCTTAAATTATCAAACCATTTTCACTCTCATCTGCACCAAACTGAAACCCAACGGTATCCACTAAATATTTACGAGCCAGTCTGGAGACCTGGTTTCCATCCAGCCAACTCCGACTGAACAAGAGTAAAGAAAACTATTTCCCATTTTTGGGGAGGGAAGAGCTCCTGCGGGACTCCACAATCCCTTACCCGGAACTGTGGCCGGCTGCTCATTTTTCAGCACTTGTTGCAATATCGCTGGTAAGTAACACCAAATGGGATGCCTGTTGATTTTGAGTGGTTATTTAATTCAACAAGCTGAGTATTTCAAAGCCCAAGGAACCAAGGCCAAGGCCCTCTGATCTTCAGGCCCAACCAGCCACAAAGAAGTCTGAAGCCTCCCCTGGGATGTGAGTCGGAGTCCCCCTCGCTCTTCTGCATGTAATCTTCCCGGTGGAGGAGCTTCACCAGCATCTAAGTGCCTGTGAGTCATCTCCAACCCGAGGCCAAATGATAGCTTGGCTGCTCAGCCTCCCACATTCTCGGCTTTCTGGGTTCCTCTTCTGATTTGAGATAACCCTAACCGACCAACATATCCTAAACAGGCAAACTGCCGGGCCATGAAAGAGAGAAGCCCTTGGGACTGGGTACCTCTTCGTGTTGGGGGCTAGTTTGCATTTGGGGTGCTGGGTGCTTTGTGGAGGACCTGGCTTTGGGGATATTATTTCTGCTGCAGTGAAAGTTTATGACAACCACAGATGGGGGTGGCAGTTTCTGTTCTGCGCCTGGTGTTGCCTACAGTTCTGTCCTTTGCTCAGTTTTTACACTGCATTTATTTTTAAGCATCCTGAGAAATAAACATAATGTCTCCTTCGAGTACAGCTCAACTCCTGGAGACTCCACAACCATGTCCATAATTTTCTTGAATTTATTTGCCTTTGCCTCCTTCTAGATGTGTTTTATTTGGTTTCTATTTCCTGAGTGATCTCCCATCCAAGTACTGGCCAGGACTGACCCTGCTTAGCTTTCTGAAAGCCAAACAAGGATCATGAACTCACTTGTTCTTTATTGCACGGACAAATTCATCTGCACAAAATTCCAAGTACTACTAATGTGAAACACTGAAACTCAATGCCACAGTATTGCAAACTAAATCCTTAGGCCTAAAACATAGCTTTTCCTTAGCTATGCTTCACAGCTTCTGATAAACTGCTGTGTATAATTGCTATGCTTCAGTCTCCATCTAAGACAAAAACCTTGCCCAGAATGTAATTTGATCTATAATTTTAGTACTGTTTACTGTTTTGTAGTGATTTGTACTGCATTAACCAAGTATATTCAATTTTAAGTTCAACAGAGATAATCCTATGTTCTGTGTTCTTGTAGCTCTTTTATCTTTCTTACTTATACCTTTTTCATTTATACTCTTTCAAAATATTGAAAAGTATATTGTTTAAAAAAATAATGTAATCAATAATTCTCATACCCCGTTTGTGGGAATTTTGATTAGCTTCCCTACAGTTAATTCTGCTGCTGACAAAATGAACCCTTAATTACTGACCATTCAGCTAGGACGTGGTAGTTTGCCCTTAAGGATCCGGCCACTGGCTGCAGGTTTTTCAGCTTAAGGGGACAATTCCACTGCCCCTTAGAAACAGTTTCCTGTTGCATAAAATACAATCTAATGTGTTAAATGTGTTAAGACCCGCTGTGTTTTTTCAAAGAACAACTAACCTCTGCTGCCATAATCCACCCAACTGTTGAGAAAGGGACAGTCTGTGGACAACAGTTGCACAAGTGAACCTAGAAGTCTGCCATTTTATAGAGATTCACACTTCTCTGCGGTTATCCAATCCTTGACAGTAAAACAACAGAGCCATCTTAGTTACCCTGTTTGAATTATGTGGATTTGTAGGGACAAAATGCCAGCCCCACCAAATCGCATCAAGCAGGCCCATCCAGCAAGGCAGAATCAAAGGACTATTTGGATTAAAGCAGTGCCCGGCTGAAATCTTTTCGCTGATAGTACTGATGAAGTCAAGCTATACAAAACCTTTCCTTACAAAGCCCTCAACACCATACGAAAAAGCCACACGATATCTTAGCGAAGAGAAAGCATGTGCGAATTAAATGGCGGCATAAGAACACGTCCTCCAACCTGGCATCATCCGGAACTGCTACACCTGAGGACATCGATGCAGAGAGCGAGCAGGACCAACCTGTGGTTCCGCAGGGAAGGATTCCTGGGGCTCACTGCCCTACTCCAGGGTGCCTTGTGGGCGAATACTATTTCCAACCAGTAACCGCTCCCTCCAGGGAGGGCTCTACAGCTGGAGTGCAGAAGCCAGCAATTTGAACAGGCCAGAGCAGAATTGCTGGCTTCAGACTCTAATATCTGATCCAGAATTACCACAGGCCGTGCCTTGGATGATGATCCATTCCCTTTGCTCAGTTTGGATAATTGTACTCAGCCTTTGGACTCAGCCCTGCCATTTCCTTCGCCATCACTGTAATTTGTTTGGTTTTTGTGCTGGGCAAACAAGACGGCACACAAACTGGGCAGGAGCAGCAGCAATAGACTGCCCACTCTTGGCTCTGCTAGCACATACTGAGAAGGAAAGCATGTGCCACTTCCTTGTGGCACACCTCTGAAGTATTTCCCCAAGAATAAAATGCTGACCGAGGCAAACATGGCCCCAGCAGCCAGAAAAGAGGCACCTGCACAACATTTCTTATGCTGTGCCGCCACCAATGCCACTTCTGCCTTGGAAGGTGGCAAGGTATGGCCCTTGCGCCAGTATGGCCATGCCAGGGAAAATGTGCCCACTGCTAGAAGAATGGCATGGCTTATTCAACCATCCACAGATGCAATCCCAGATAGCGTTAGCTCTCCCAAAAGGAGGCACCCTCTCCCCAACTGCTATGACTCCGTGGGCTGGGAAAAGCACTCTGTGTCCCTGCCCTTTTCTTTGCAGAGGTTCCCCACCTGCCTGCTTCACCTGAGATGGAAGACGACACTGCAGGGTTCGCCAGATGATGAGCATCCTTTATTTATTTATTTATTTATTTATTTATTCAGTCAGTCAGTCAGTCAGTCAGTCAGTCAGTCAGTCAGTCTCAGGAGACAATTATTGTGATCCTGGGTGGAAACTCTAAACTAGGCAAACATTATTAGCTGCCAAGAGAGCAATTAAGGTCAATGTGTAACCAAATGAGGGCTGCATTCATCCACACTGTAAAGGAGACAGGACAAAGGTGAAGTTCAGGTGCTTTCTTATTCCAAATATAATGAATTAAGAAGTCATCCTGAAAACAACTTAACCTTTGGGGCAAAAAAATTTACATGTGAAACAACAGTCAGAAATGCCACATTACAAAAATCTTTGTCTAGGTCTTCTTACTGTGAATAGTGGAAATTTCTGGGTGCTCATCTACAGCTATTGGGGGAGGGCATTCAAGAAAGACCAACAAGCTCCAGAACTGACGGCCACAATCCGCTAATAATTTTAGCTTTTCTTTGCTACATGGATACAACAACTAGCATAGTACTTCCATTACTGCTGTCCTAGATTTATAAATGAAGGTTGCAACTGTGACCAAGTAAGTTTGGGAATAAGGAAACCTAAATAGGAGCTGCCTCTCAGCCAGCGGGACGGAAGAGTGGCTTAGAGCTCTCTATCGATGGTCCGGTAACAGCTTCATCTCCGCAGGTAGCAGCACCTGGGTGGCCTTTTCTGGGCTGGGAAGCTATGCAGGTCCGGCCTGCCCAGTCAGCACCAGCGTGGGAGACCGGGCCGTAGGGCTGGACTACAGAAAGTCCCAGGAGGTGGCAGCGGCAAGCCGCTTCAGTACTGCTGCCAAGAAAACTACATGGATGTATCCATAAAGTCACCCGCAGAGACTTCTTTAAAAAAATATATATTTACTTCATTAAAAGTTCGTGCCTGGGCCAAGACAGACAATTCTTAAGCTACCTCAATGGAGATCATCACGGCCAGCAATGGGCCCAATTAAATCCATCTCTTAACATTTTTACAGCTCAGCAAAACCACTCCAAGGGTTTGACATTTATACAGCAGCAAGTTTTTTTTAATCCATCAATTATAATGCAATACAGCTTCTCTGCATTAGAAAAACATCCTTGTATTGTTTGTCATCAGAGCAAGCAAAATATCCAGGAATTTCACTCACTGTATTCCTTTCTTGCGGAACAAATGAGAGGGTTTTCAAAGAAGAGTTGTGAAATTTCACTTTAAAATGTCCCAAACGTAAGGGAAAATAGGAAGTTTATTCATTCTGGCCCAGAGGTAGTCACGGCATCATGCTATGAAACTACTTAAAGGGCCACTAAAAGTACACAAATTGTTCAACAATTGTTTAGACAGTCCAAGGCAAGTTTAAATAAAATCTTGGATTTTATCTAAATGTTGATTATTGCAAAAGTTGTTATGAAGGAGACCTTAATAAGGATTCTCAAAATGGACGGGGTTGAGATATTAGACATGTTATATTATTTGTCTATTCATTACTTGCCTTAATCCCCAGGAACTCTAGGCAGTGTATACAATGCAAAACAGAGTATCAAAATACATAACAATACAAAGAACAAACAGTAAATGGTAGCGCGACGATTAAAATGCGCTGATTATTTTCACCCTTACTAAAAAGCTGGTTTCCAGCAGACGACAGCTATTTTTGGCCCACTGTTTGCTTCAATGCACTTCCTATTATCTCCGTGCAAAACAGTATAAGGTTTACCAGCATTAACCCGTTAACCGGTCCGGCTGTTCCGCCTTACGACGTCTACCAGCCCAACGCCGACATCCCTCTGCTTGACGCTGCCCGCCGCGATTTGCAAGGGAGAAGTGAAAACCGGCCCAGCGGCTATCCGCGCACTTTGCGGTCTGAGCCGCGAGTCGGAGGGTCGCTGCGCGCTCCGCCCTCGGCTTCCCGCCGCGGCATCCACCGAGCCCGGCAGACCCAGCGCGGAGCTTCAAGCGGG